GGAGGCAAACTGCAGTTATGACACTTCACGTTTTGAAATATGTGTAACTCTGTTCATATAAAACCCACACTGCTCAAACTTCGTTACTTTTCCTAAAATGTGTATATTTATTTATTTTGGGGCGTGGGGAATGAAGAGGAAAAAATATATGAGCATGTTATGAGCATCGGATTTTGACCCCTCATATAAACATATAATGCTGCGCTATATTTTGCGGCCACACGCCGTTGCCAAGCAACACTTATTGTTTAGGTCCTTTGATAAGCAGGCAGTCATATCATTAACTAGAACTAGCTAGATCTGATAGATTTGGACAAAAACGTGAGTGAAGTATAACCGGACGCGAGAGAGAGATCAGATATCAGATCAGCTGCTGCTGACGGAGAACACGCAGCTCTTCCGGATCACAGCTCCGCCGCTGTGACGGACCGGTGAGCGGACCAAAATACACTAAGAGTTAGACCTAACACACTTAGCTAGTAAATCTACTCTGGAACAAGCTAAACTAGTTATACATATATGTATTCTTTACTGTCGGGTCACTCATTACATGTTCAGCGAGCTGCACGAGACTGACGGGCTGTCAGGAGAGGGAGAGGAAAAGAGAGCACCCTGTTTATTTTTCCCATTTTATTATCCAGAATTTCTGTAAACCTTTGAATAAAGTAGCCTAGTTAATCTACTATTAGTAGTTTGTTTAAATGCATTAATTATGTTTTGTTTTTTTCATTAACATAAAATAAATCTCACGTACCCCCTGCAGTACTCCAACGTACCCCTAGGGGTCCGCGTACCCCCATTTGAGAACCACTGAGTGGCCAATTTACAAAAGGATTGTGTGGCTTTTAGGGGCTGCTAAAACTGTCCAAATTAAACAAAAGGAACCGTGTGAATCTCAAAGCAAGTGCAAGGGCTGAAATGCACCTCCCACCTGCTTTGCCAAAGAAAAAAGCCTCTGGTTTCTAATTTGAACATATTTAAAATAGTAAACATACAAACACTTAGTGTAAAATTGGCCCTTTTATGAGCCTCATTGCAAAAACAATCCTAAACTGATGCACATTTGAGTGATGTCCGTTAAAAACTCATTTATTAGAGTGTAGTCATTGCATTGACACAGTTGCACTGTAACAGGATGCAATGACACTTGTTTCATGAGAAATAAACGAATTAATTAAATACATGGGGACTAAAGATTGAAATAACTGGTGAATCTTTGCCTTGAGCGTAAACGCACACAGCATCTCTCTTAAATTGGAGGCTTATCGTTTCTACTGCAGGGGGATCGCTGCAGGTATTTAATTAACTCAAAAACAAGCCTCAAATGTCTAAACTATTAAGATAAAACAATGTAATTAATATTTTTCCTGTTTTATTTCAACCTCCCGGAAATGTGTGCTGTGCGGCGCAGAGGCGTATATGGCAAATACGAATGAAAGAGAACAATATAGTTAATAGTTAAATATATTTTTGAAAAGCAACAGGGTTGACTTAGATTCTTATAAAGATTTCCAGCACTTAACATAATTAATTGTCTTGTGTTGTGAAATAAAAAAAAATGTGCTACTGTATGCTGAGTTGTAATTACACTTCATATTTTAATAACATTTTAACAGAGTTGTATCTAAGGTTTAAAGTAACATCTGAAAAGGTGTATTGCTTTTGCTATTCATTTAATAAATTGAGCTTTTGAATATTGTTGTATCGAGATAGAAATAGAGTATGTCCCTAATTATACAGTAAATTCAAAAGGGGTGCAGCAATACAGTCAAGGAACATGTGAAATGTGTAGTTTTGAAAGAGGCCATTAGAAATATTAGATGTATAACAGTAATACAAAATGTCAGCTGGGATGCATTTTATTCTGGTGAAATGCACATGTTGGAGACTTGACCTGACTGGAATATCATTCCCAGGCCTAGACTTAAAAGCTGACCTAAAAGACACACCAGTGGTTCTCAACTGGTCAGGCCTCGGGAGCCACTTTGTCAATAAATCGTGACCCGAAATTTTGAACCACTCAAATCTATTCAACAAAAAATTGTGCTGTAATACGCTTTTCAGCATACATTATCAATTAAACTGAAGTACAGTGAGTGCATATATCCCTTCACAGAACTAAAGTAAAAAGGTTTAATGAGATGATGGAATCAAAGGTGAACTGCATAACATAAAAAGGCACACATGCTGAAAACCCAACCCAAGAGGGGGATCTGGGGGGATTCTCTAAGAAAATAACCCGACATATTAATAATATGTTATGCCATTGTTTGTTTTTCATTTTGTTCTGAAGCTGAACTTGCTGCTCCTCACAAAGAGAAGAGCAAAGAGGAGATAGTCTGTGTGAATTACTTTAAATTGTGGGTAAGGGTAGATAGCCCCCATTGTTCTGTGACCTGTCAATCATCAAACCGGGGGTCATATCTCATTATGTGTTCATTTTGATCTGAAGTTGTACCCATGGATGTATAAAGAATTGTTCTACCGCAAAGTTATTCTCCGTGGGGACTTCCGGCAACAATCTGGATTCTGATTGGCCAGAAGACTCGAAAAAACATCAGCAAAGATGTTTTATTGAGAAGATGATCACCACATGACAGAAGTTTTCAAAAAACGTTTATGGTCTCCGGTACTTCCAGTCCGCTAGAGACGGCGAAGTCCCTCCCCTTCCGGTGGGACTCATGGGACCTTATTTCGGAAAAAGTTTGAAGTCAATGGAGAGAGAAAGATTATCTTTTGATCCCGTTTGAATTGTGCCACGAGATTACACATATGATGTTTGTCAATCTTAAATAATAATTTTCATGTCAAAAAAGTCACAGTTTGTCGTAAAACCGTAAGACTATGAAAAATACGCAACTAGAAAGACTACAAATCCCAGAATCCCGGTCCCGACTAACTCCCCTTGTGTGTATGTACAGCTCTCAACATGCCCAGACTTGTAGTGATTTTCACCTCTTTTAATACTTTTTGCCTTATTCTGAAAGAAATAATTGAAATGTGCCAACGTGACGGCCGTCTTGGTATGTGGTGCGAGACGGGAGATGAAGGTCATTGAGCGGTTTCACACCAAAAAAAAGTGTTACTTCACAGTTTTACGACACATTTTTAGTTTTTTGACTTTATTAAATTATCTTTTAAATTGACAAACATCATATGTGTCATTCGTGGCACAATTCAAACGGGATCGAAAGATAATCTTTCTCTCTCCATTGACTTCAATGCATAACTTTTTCGAAATAAGGTCCCATGGAGCTCAACCGGAAGAGGAGGGACTTCGCCTCTCTATTGCATGCACAGCGTTAAAATCGGGCCTTCAAAATAAAAGTTTGACTTTTTTCCGCAAAAAAAAAAGAATTTCAATTTATTTTTTCTTCACTCACACATCTGCGACCCACTCGAAACGGGTCATCGGCCCACAAGTTGAGAACCACTGCGAACCTTTATGATTTAGTGGAAATTACACACTTAATCAGAAGTGGTGAAATTGCACTGCAGGGCAGAGCCGGCCATTTTACTCTGAATAAAAAAAGTGCTCTCTTAAGAAGATGTCATGGCTCAACTGAATTTGACTGCAACACACACACACTCAGTGCCAATGTGTGCCTTCCATTACGGTTCCATATATTTAGCATGAAGGGATTTATTTCTCTCACTCCTTGCTGCAGTTGCAGAAAAGGTCAAGCACGCGTTACATCCGTCAAACTGGTACTTCTGAGTCAATACATCAACCTGACGGAACGTGTCAAAGTATCTGCTTTATTGTCAGGTGTTAAATATATCAACAAATATTGCCACCTGTTCTTAAGTAGCTTCTTCTCTTAATTCAACATTGTTTGACAAAAGCTCTCACTAAAGGATAAATGTTGGTGTAGAAAACTAAATCCAGAGATGTAATCATGAGCATTTATTTTTATTTTTAATTAGAATTTACAGGTTCAAGCTTAATGACGTCCATTTAAATAAAAATAAAACACCCTTAAATATGTTGATTTGAATTTCACTTGAAATGTGGAAACCATGAAAACATTTCTTATAATTGTATTAGAATTGTATTCAGACCTGTTTTGCATGCTTCTTTTCTTACATCCTTTGTGAAAAATAACTTCTAAATACTTCATAACCTGCTATCCATTTGGGTCATGTAAGCTGTTTCTGAGAGATTCACAGATGTTATTTTGGGAAAAGTATGCTTGCTTTTTCCTTTGAAACATACATAATGAATGTTGTTGTCTCCGTTACCCTGCAAAGGCTCAGTAAAAACAGGTTTGAACCCAAAAGCTTCACTCTGAAACCAGGCCTGTTAAATATAAAGTTCAAGTTGATGTTAGGTCAGGCTAGAGAGCACAAGTCCAAAGACAGGCAGGAGACAGGGACAGTTTCATCCCACAGGCCAGAAGACTATTAAACACCTGAACTTTTGAAACAACATCCATAACATTCATCTGGCTGCAACTTAGAAATGATTTATCTAATATATCATATTCCAATCACTTGTATATACTGTAGACTCTTATTGCACTATTTCACAATTTTACTATTTTTCTCTTTATATTTACTTGCACTATTTTTTCTGTTTTTCTGTTTTATTGTGTTGCACTGTTGGAGGAGCCTGTGACCTAAGATTTTCATCGTCATAACTACACTGTAGCTATGTGTGTATGACTAATACAAGCCTTGATCCTTGAAGAAGAGCCAACGGCCTGGCAATAATATATGTTTGTGGGACAGTGGAGGTGGGAACTGGTGTGATTTTGTGATGGGGGTTACTGAAGTGTCTGAGGACAGGATAGATGTTAGTAGATGGCAGGGGGGGAGGGAACAAGGAAAATGTGAGAGTAGGAATTGGCGGACATTGTGACATTCCCAATCTTTATCTATCAAACTGACCTTTTTGCCGCACCTCTCCTCTCCTTTATTCCACTTCTGTCCTTTACTCTCTCATATGTCACTTCTCCCATTCTCCTGATTGTGTTTCTCTCCTCTATCTCTCGCTCTAGGGGGTGAGGTAGGTACCCCGAGGTTCACCCAGTATTTCCGTGGCAGCCTGTCAGGTCTGACAATCCGACCGGGCCGCATCGAAACCCAGAAGGTTATTTCCTGTTTGCAGGCTTGCAAAGAAGGCCTTGATATTAACTCACTGGAAAGCCTCGCCAAGGACATCAAGGTGCATGGAAACAAACCCACTCAACACTTACAAATGTCATGTCGATGTGGCACAAATCTGCTCAAATCGTCAATGTTTTAACGAGGATTTAAAATAGTTCTGTCCCTGTCCAAAGAAATTGTGATTCAACATGTTGTTCCAAAAATCCTCAATAAATGTTTTAAATCACGCTAAAAAGTATTACAATACTGCCTTACATTTTTCAGCGATCCAATATTTTCATTCATTTCATTTCACAGATACAAGACACAAGTTTTTTAATTGGACATCCTTTTTGGTGAAAAATACAAAAAGGAACATTGAGAGTCTTTTCTAACTTGCTTCATATTTCCTGTATTTGTTTTTATCTGGTTCTATGTTTCACTTTCCATAACAGCAAGTTTTCAAGTCATTTGTAATGACCGATGTTAGAAATGTACCATTATCAATTTATTGGTAGTGTTTATTCATCAAAATCCACAATAAAATGATATATAGACCCAACCCTAGCCACCAGAAGAACTCATGTGTCACTTCTAAGCAGAACAGGATGTAACTCGATATAACTTAGCTAATAAACAGAGTCTAGTTAAAGCTATTGTTGCACATGTTTTCCCTCAAAAGACACACAAAATGTAAGTTAGCTTAACCACATTGTCTGAATCTGGAGATCTGAACGTCTCTTTGTGTTTGTTTGTGTCTCCAGTTCCATTTTAACCCCGCTCAGTCCGTGCTGGTGGTGGAGGGAGAGGATCTGGACAGCATCAACACAGCCATGACCAAGGTCTCCTACATTAACTCTCGCCAGTTCCCTACATCAGGCCTTCGACGGCTGCACATCACCACCACAGTACAGTAAGTGCAAATACAATTAGAGCATGTATTTTAAGACTTCGTTTTTATGTTTTCACATTTGCTGCCCCGCTGGGTCACTGTCACTGAGCAGTTGTGAGATTTCAGAAAAAAACATCAGAAGCACAATTCATCTTTATCAATATAATTGCGATGTACAGATCTGTGGCTTCATGCTGTTTGTGTGGGTGTGGATTTGAACTTTTCATCACTCACATCTTTGTTGCACATTTAGCAGGTATCCAGTTATTGAATAAAATGTGGGATGATCCGTATATAATATAGGACAAGTTTGTCAAATCATGTAACCTACAAACAGCCAGAGGAGTTTTAAAGTATTAACTGAAGGCTCTTTCAGATGTGGGGTCTGTCTTGTCTCTGTCTTTAAGCCTCAAAACTCCCAGTGCGATGGCAAAGATGGATCATTAGTGCAAAAACTATTAAAGTATGAAACAGACCAGCTGGCCGTTAAGGACATTAAGCCTTCGGGCGAACACAAAGGGCATCTTGCTAGCGTCTACTTGTACTTGCTTTTTGTTTCTATCTTTTTTCATTCCTCCGTTTTCTGTCAGTTTTTTCCGCTGTATATCTTTCTGTGATTCTATCTCCTGATTTGATTAGACTTTGTCTTTTCCCCAGGATGCTGATGTCAGTCAGTGTGTTTGTACCAAGCGCATTATCTTGACATACTGTAATGAAATCAAAAAGCACTCTGCTGGTCCACAACAACGTATCATGAAAGTGGCTGCCTCCTTGATATTTGCAAAGGATATTAAAAGGATTAATACTTATCTCGTTGGTGCCCCCTGACATTTTCTTTAATGCCATCATCTGAAAAAACTCCCCTTTCATGCATGACATATGATAATGTGATGGACAGGTAATAATTGACTGACCCCTTCTTGCTCCTGCTAGCATAACTTGATTTATGTTCATCATTGTATGATCAGAAACACATGATTTCACCATATGTGTAATGTACATCATGTTAACTGTAAATCATAAAGCAACGCAATTCCTTGTGTGTGTGTGTGTGTGTGTGTGTGTGTGTGTGTGTGTGTGTGTGTGTGTGTGTGTGTGTGTGTGTGTGTGTGTGTGTGTGTGTGTGTGTGTGTGTGTGTGTGTGTGTGTGTGTGTGTGTGTGTGTGTGTGTGTGTGTGTGTGTGTGTGTGTGTGTGTGTGTGTGTGTGTGTGTGTGTGTGTGTGTGTGTGTGTGTGTGTGTGTGTGTGTGTGTGTGTGTGTACGTACGTACTGGAGAGCCTGTTCATGTGTCTGCTCCACTCTCCACGCCCTTCCAGCGCCTGTTCATTTGTTGAGCAGCAAGTACAGACAGGTCAAATCAGCTTGGAAGTGTGCGGGTCGATAGTGAGGCGCGAGCTCGGGGAGAAGCAGGGACAGGCTGTCTCACTCCGAGCAGATCTTCGGCGCTCCCCTCGAGATAAAGACAGATAGATCCGCCTCTACTCTCAGCAGCAGATGTGTTGAATCTGCCATCTGTGACTGAAAAACAATAATATGTAGTCCAATTACACATTGTTGATATTCCTCCTGCAGGTGTTTTGTTGTTTGTGGCTGCTTTGTGTCTCTGGGTGTGAAGTCCTGACAAGTAGCAGGATAGGTTCAATGATAATTGTCACTTCACTATTCACATCCATCTTTGTATTTAATGCTTCTTTTCAAATGGTTTATTTTTCATTTCTGACATGTATTCCTGTATGGGCAAAAGCATAGGTCAGGGCGAATTGCTTTTAAGCACTTTACATTTTATATTGATGTGTCCCTTTATTTCAAAATTTAAATTTCTGTGATTTCAACATGGAACTATTTATCCTGTAGATTCTTAATCCCCTATGGCAGGGGTAGGCAAGTAAGTTTGGCCGTGGGCCAATTTTTTGCTGAGCCGCAAGATGGCGGGCCAGAACATAATCAAAGCGTAATTCAAGGAATTGATTTTGGTAAGAGGGCGCAGCGCCCCTGTTCCCCGGCTCAGAAAAAACTCTGATATCGCTGATAACCCCCATCAACACTATGATGCGCAGTCAGATCCGCTGATTGGTTCACTGATGATATAACCCAATCCAGAGCCTTTGGCTAGACCCGCCCAAAGGGAGGCTTGTCCTCTCTAGCCCCATTTCAGTCCCAAAGCCAGGGCTATTATCTGTATTTTAACAGACTTATCTTTTAAATTGAGGTGTATTTATTGTTCTCTTCAAAGTTTATTTTTCTCTGAAATTGTAGGGAGGATGGTCCTCCCTTTCCTCAATGGACGAGCCTCCACTGAGTAAAGTAGAGTTATTAACTAGGTAGCAGTGTTATTTAACATGCTTTTATTCTGATAAGTATTGTCAAGTTCTCTGGGTTTTTGGCATTTATTTGAGTGTTTGCCCACATTTGAGAGGCTTGAGGGACAACTGGAATCCTTTTTCCTTTTCTTTATTTCAACTTTTCAAGGACACATTAGGATTCTTTCAGGTTGAAAACCTTTAAAAAAATACCAAAGGACAAAATAAATCAATTACAGCAGTTTTTCTTTGCAATTTCATATATTATAACCTAAATTAATCATTAACCAAGTATTTTACTCAAACTCAATGTATTTAATAGTTAAATAAGTACTTTAATTGACCTGGTTCCCCCCAACCACACATTTGCCATATGTGACCCGCTCTATCGAAATCAGTCGGAAGTCGCAACGGCTCATTTCAAAATAAACGTGGATTTGCGTAAAAAAATATTTTTTTGGGGATCGGGTGTTTCGTTTGATTTTAAATAAACAAAGTCTTGGCTTTCAGAATATGTTACATATACATTTGTATTTCCAAATTCACACGATAAATACATGTTTGAAGCTTGTAAAGGGAATATGACAGCTCTCCCTCGCCACTCTGCTCTTCCACAGCGTCGCTTCCCCTCCCTCCGCTGACATTATGAATGTAAGCGGATATGTCGGGACAGAATTTATTTTGACTAATTTGAAACTTACCGGTCATGTTTCAATAATAATAATAAGAGTTGTGTAGCAGAGTTTCCGTTAGCAGGTAATCACCGGACTATGACCGGATATGCTGATGTTTAAAACTCAGTTAATGGGGCTCATTTTTATATTGCTTCAGTTTATAATCGTAACAGATCAAAAAATTCAGATTCATTTTTCCATAAATGATTCCACAAACAACAAACAACATAATTATTACATTCAAACAAACTACTTGTAGTAGATGAAGTACATTATTCAAAAGTTTACATTAACTTTGAATAATAACACGGGAGAAACGGATCCTCTCTTTTCCTCTCTCCCTCTCTCTCCTGACAGCCCGTCAGTTTCTCATGCAGCTCGTTAAACAGAGGGCGGGGCTTCAGGTGATCATGCAGAGCTGCGTGTCTCCATTAGACTCAGCAGCTGATCTGATCTCTCTCTCAGGTCCGGTTATACTTCACTCGCGTTTATGTCCATATCGATCAGATCCAGCTCTCCTGATCGGCCTTTATAGAGAGCACCGATCAAACTATTAAGAGTGAATATCGGCCGATAATGACCGGCGGCCGATCGATCGGCGGCTAACGGAAACCCTGATGTGCGACTGTCGGTCCTATGTTGTAAAAAAAAATAAAAAATAAAATAAAAAGATCAAAATAATATTTTATTTTTGATTCTCAAAATTACGGGCCAAATATTATTGCTGGCGGGCCAACAATGGCCCGCGGGCCGCCTGTTGCCGACCCATGCCCTATGGTATGGTTGATTCAGTTTAAATGTGACTTTCAGAAAGGGGGCAGAGCGGTAACTATACAAAAAAAGCTCAGGACACTAAAACCTATTTTTGACATTTTTGCAAAATATATGAACTTTTGAAATGTAAAGGAGAGTTTTTTTTATGATTGTGGTAAAAAGAGAAAAAGGATTTGGAACCAGAAGGTGATATTCCCATTGTCCAAAATCCTTAACAACAATAGCTAGGCTACTGTCAGATACATCTGGTCCAGACCGTCTTCACAGTACTGATAAAGTTTGTAGTTCTAAGATAAGGATTTTTTAAAATATATTTTAGCATGAATATTTGGAACAACTTGATTTGAAACCAAGTTTGAAGTGATTAAACAAATGTTTCTGTAAATCCATTATGTTTGTTCAGCCTGTAATCAGCAGTGTTTTTCGAGCTCTTATACTGAAACGCTGTATTTCTGTCTTTTTGCATATTTTACTCACAAAAGACAGCATTAGAGTTAAATCAAATAAGCACCGAGTATTAACACCTGTGCTGTGTAAATGTGTACCCTCTCTGTGTGTGTGTGTGTGTGTGTGTGTGTGTGTGTGTGTGTGTGTGTGTGTGTGTGTGTGTGTGTGTGTGTGTGTGTGTGTGTGTGTGTGTGTGTGTGTGTGTGTGTGTGTGTGTGTGTGTGTGTGTGTGTGTGTGTGTGTGTGTGTGTGTGTGTGTGTGCGAGAAAAAAAAAAGAGAATGTCGAAAAGCTGAACGCAGGTGGCGAAAAACAAATCTCCAGGTTCACTTTGAAATCTAAAATCGAATCCTTTATAATTTGGAATTGAAAAACGCACGACAGTCTTTCTTCTCTGACATCATTACCAAAAACAACGCACGTGCCTTCTGCCTTGTTTGCTACTGTCGACAGACTAACTAACCCCCCAGTGTCAGTAGCCTCTGAATTTCTATCCACCAGGGCGTGCAATGATTTTGCCTCCTTTTTCACTGACAAAATTCAGAAAATCAGACAAGCAGTTAGTGCCTCTGCATCAGGTACAGCAAATGTGTTGTCTCTGTGTCCACTTAAAATCAATTCAAACACCATGACACAATTCCATCAGATTAATGATAAAAACCTAGAGGACATTATTCAACTTCTGAAATCCTCCTCCTGCTGCCTTGATATTATTCCAACAGGATTTTTCAAAGACGTTTTGCCTTGCATGGCCTCAGATCTACTTCATATAGTAAACAAATCTCTTCACTCAGGTATTTTTCCACAGGCCCTGAAAACTGCAGTCATTAAACCGCTCTTAAAAAAGAATAATCTAGATGCTTCAGTAGTGAACAATTACAGGCCCATATCAAACCTCCCATTTCTAGGTAAAATCATTGAAAAAGTTGTTTTTCAACAGTTGAGTAATTTCTTGCATTTAAATAACTGTTTCGATGTGTTCCAGTCAGGCTTTCGTCCAAACCACAGCACTGAGAATGCTCTTGTAAAGGTCTTTAATGACATCCACTTAAACACAGACAGTGGCAGAACTTCAGTGTTAGTATTATTAGATCTCAGTGCTGCGTTTGACACTGTTGACCACAGCATATTACTAGACCGACTGGAGAACTGGGTGGGACTTTCGGAAACAGTTCTAAATTGGTTTGAATCCTACTTAAAGGACAGAAACAACTTTGTTTCTAGAGGTAAATACACATCTGAGTTGACAAATATGACATGTGGGGTACCTCAAGGCTCCATCTTGGGGCCTCTTCTTTTTAACGTCTACATGCTACCACTGGCTCAGATAATGAAGAACAACCAAATAAGTTACCATAGCTATGCAGATGACACACACATTTACGTAACAATTTCACCAGGAGACTATGCTCCAATTCAAACACTGAGTAAGTGCATTGAACAAATCAATGACTGGATATGTCAGAACTTTCTCCAATTACGGATTATTGGGGACGGGTGGCGCAGTGGTCTGTGCATCTGATCATCAGATCAAGGGGGAGTGCTGGGGAACTCCAGTTCGAAACCCGCTCCTGCCGCCACTGCGTCAGGCCGTTGTGTCCTTGGGCAAGACACTTCACCCGGATTTGCTCTTGTGGGTATTGTCCACAGTATCTGACCATGTATGATATATGTGTAATGTGTGTATATGTAAAGGCTTTGAGTCATTGAAAAAGCGCTATAATAAATGTAAGGAATTATTATTATTATTATTAATTAATTAAACAAAGATAAAACTGAGGTAATGGTTTTTGGATCCAAGGCAGAACGTATAAAAGTTAGCGCTGAGCTTCAGTCTGCAATGTTCAAAACAACAGATAAAGCCAGAAATCTAGGTGTAGTCATGGACTCTGACCTGAGTTTCAACAGTCACATTAAAACAGTTACTAAATCAGCCTACTATCACCTAAAGAATATATCTAGGATTAAAAGACTAATGTCACAGCAGGATTTGGAAAAACTTGTCCATGCTTTTATCTTCAGTAGACTGGACTACTGCAATGGTGTCTTCACAGGTCTCACTAAAAAAATCTATTAGAAAGCTGCAGCTGATTCAGAACGCCGCTGCTCGAGTCCTCACTAACACTAAGAAAGTGGATCACATCACTCCTGTTCTGAAGTCTTTACACTGGCTTCCTGTGTGTCAAAGAATAGATTTCAAAATACTGCTGCTGGTTTATAAAGCACTGAATGGTTTAGGCCCAAAATACATTTCTGACCTCCTGCTAAATTATGAACCATCCAGATCTCTCAGGTCTTCAGGGACTGGTCAGCTTTCTGTCCCCA